CTCCCAGAGAGCACAGGCCAGGAAAGAAGGCCAGGGAAGAGGCCACCATGCACCTCAGGCTGGTTATAGCAGTGCTGCACCTCACACAGCTTCAGGTCGTGCCTTCTAGAGTCACACCATGTGGGCAGCTATGGCCCAGGAGCCACAGGCCTGTGAATCCTGAATCCCTGACAGACTCCGGTTTTCTCAGAGCTAACTGATATGAGAGAGGGCGGCGGTCAGGGGAGGCAGTGCCGTGTCTCCGTCCCCTGCAGGCAGACCTCGTTTTCTTACACTTTCCTTTGTGCTTTACGGCTACTGCACTTTTTTTTTTTAAAAACAAATTGAACGTTTGTGGCAACACTATGTTGAGCACATCTATTGGCACCATTTTTCCAACAATATTTGCTCACTTCGTGTCTGTGTTCACACTTGGATAATTCCTGTGCTGTTTCAAACTTTTTCATGATAATTATATTCCTTATGGTATTCTGTGATCAGTGATCTTTGATGTTACTTTTCCAAAAAGATTACGACTCCCTGCAGGCACAGGTAATGTTTAGTGTTTTTCAGCAATGAAGTATTTTTAAATTAAGGTATGTCCACTTTTTTAGACATTAGTGCTAGTGCACACTTAATAGACTGCTGTGTGAACATAACTTTCATATGCCTTGGGAAACCGAAAAATTCATGTGACTCACTTTATTGCGGTATTTGCCTTATTGCTGTAGTCTGGAACTGAGCCAGCAGTATCTCTGAGGTGTGCCTGTTACACTGTGGCTGCAACAGGAGGTGGCCTGTGAGAAGGGTTGGCAGGGCAGGTCATTCATTCCAGCCCAGCAGGGGACCAGTCCCAGCATCTGCTTCTACTGAGCTTCCTACGTTCGTTCACCTATTTGTTTAATGACTTAACATTTCTCAAGTGCCTGTTATGTGACAGGCACTGTGCTAGGAGTCATGGATGCAAACACGAGCCATGTGACCTTGCTCTCAGAGGACCCAGGGTTTGATACAGATGATGTGGAAACAAAGCTATTCTGATGTGAGAAAGAGCTGCTGTATGTGTATTTTCAAAGGTCTATGGAACAGGTAGAGAAGGGATTTCCCAGCTCAGCCTAAAGGAGCTGGGTGGGAGGCTGCCGTACAGAGGATGCTGTATTTGTGCTGTACCTAGTAGGTGGAGTAAGAGTTCATCCCATAAATAGGGTGGGGGGGGGCAACTAAGAGCTGCCAGTGTTAAAGTGCGGCACTATCAAGGAAAGTGTCTGCATCGCCTGAGTGACGGCTGTGTTCAACTGGGGACAGGGCAGAGGGACCCCAGGCAGGTTTTGAGGGCCCTGTGTCTGTGCTTTATCCTCATGGGGGTCTCATCCTGCAGAGGCTGGAGGCAGTCAGATTCTTGCCTTGCCTTAGAAGGACTGACTGCTCTTGAGGAGGAGGGGCTGGGATGACGTAAGGGTGGAGGCAGGGAGTCCTATTTGGCGAGGGTACAATGGTCTAGAAAAGGCAGAGTGAGGGTCTGAACACAGGATAATGGGGATGAACCACTTTGGGAGTCATTCCTGGAGAATCTAGAGGGAGGAGGGGAGAGGGAGGAGTCAAGAGTCATCTGAGGTGAGGACGTGAATGTTGGCAGTCTAGGGCAGGGGTAGGGAATATAATGTGTCTCCAGGTAGGTGAGTTTCAGGTGCTGGCAGACCCCTTGGTAGAGACAGATTTGCAGTTGGAAGAGGAGTTCTGGATGGAGCTCGAGAAATAAAGAATTTGGTGTTGGAGAGGGAGACCTCAGGGGCAGGATATTCCCAGGGAGAGAGAAGAAAAAGGGGGCTGAGAACAGAGCCCTGAGAACATGGCTTCTTAAGGGGTAAGAAGAAGAAAACGAGCCTCCCAGGAGACAGAGGACAGGCCAGAAAGGCAGGATTAAAAACCAAGTGGAGGAGGCAGTGATGGGCAGCTTGGGCTCTGCTAGGGGATCATGGAAGGCCAGGACCAAAAAACACCCACGGGCTCAGCAGTGAGAACAGTGGCAGAAAGCTGCCCACGTTGCAGCTGTAAATCACAATTTGGGAGTGGCTTCAATCCAAACCATCGGATTGTGCAGGATTCTTAAGCCACTTTTGGCAGCAGAACTGGTGGTTGGATTGATCTGGAGCTGGGGATTGTGGAGGTGGAGAGCTGGTGGGGAAAAAAAAAAAAGTGAAAATGTTAGTCACTCAGTCCTGTCCAACTCTTTGTGACCCCATGGACTGTAGCCCTCTGTCCATAGAATTCTCCAGGCAAGAATACTGGAGTGGGTGCCATTCCCTTCTCCAGGGGATCTTCCTGACCCAGGGATCCAACCCTGGTCTCCTGCATTACAGGCAGATTCTTTATCATCTGAGCCACCAGCAGGGTGCTGGTGGGACCACAGAGATGCTTAGGGTGCGGTGGGAAGGGACATGAAGTTGTGCAGGTTGCCATAGAGAGGCTGTTCCCACTGAGTAGGTGAAAAGGCTGGTTTCCTGGTGAGACTGAGTGGAGAGGAAGGGAGGGAACAGTTGTTGTCAGAGAAAGGTGCAGGCTCTGGTATCATAACCCAGGGTAGTACACGTGAAACGGGTTCAAACTGTCAAGTGTCATTTCGCTGTTTAGAGTCTGTTATTAGTAGAGCTGTAGTCTAAAACGATTTATGCGACACTGGATGTGGAGAATGGAATGAAAGTTGGGGCGAGGTGAGAAACCAGCCCCCAGCTCGCAGGAAAAAGCTCAGAGTCTGGATTAAGACCAGAGGAGGCGCCAAGGAGGCTTCAGAGTGGAGGGGGCGGGGGTGGTAGGCTCTAGGGCGGATCTGGTTGGGACAGCCGTCCCGGGGGGAACAGCGGATGGTGCCGGTGGGGGTGCTGGGCTTGGCTTGGCCCTGTCGAGATTAGGTGCTGTGGTGTGGGGAGTGTAGGGGCTGGAGCTTGGAGGGCGCCTCCGGCACACTGACCTGTCTCCCGCACAGGGCTCATGGGCCCCCAAGAAGGAGCCGTACACCCGGGAGATGCTGGCGATCTCCTTCATCTCGGCGGTCAACCGCAAGCGGAAGAAGCGGCGGGAGGCGCGGGGACTGGGCAGCAGCACAGACGACGACTCGGAGCAGGAAGCGCACAAGCCTGAGGCGGGGGCACCGGCGCCGGGGGCCCAGGACCGGCCGGAGGGGCAGCGGCCGGGAGCCGCAGCCCCCGAGGCCCCCGGACGCCTCAGCCCCCAGGCGGCGCCGGAGGAGCGGCCGGCCGCGGACACGCGCTCCATCGTCTCGGGCTACTCCACCCTGTCCACCATGGACCGCAGCGTGTGCTCGGGCGCCGGGGGCCGGCGGGCGGGCGCGGGGGACGAGGCGGACGACGAGCGCAGCGAGCTGAGCCACGTGGAGACGGACACGGAGGGCGGCGCGGGGCCCGGGGGGCGCCCGGCGCGCCGGCCCTCGTTCAGCTCGCACCACCTGATGCCCGGCGACACCTTGGCGCGGCGCCGCCTGGCCCGGAGCCGCGCGGACGGCGAGGGCGCGGGCGCGGGCGCCGGGCTGCCGGGCTCGGCCTCGTCTAGCAGCCAGGAGTCGCTGCGCCCCCCGGCGGCCGTGGCGGCGGCGGCGGCGGCGCTGGGCTCCCGGCCCTCGCGCCTCGAGGCGCTGCGGCTGCGCCTCCGCGGCACCGCCGATGACATGCTGGCCGTGCGGCTGCGGCGGCCGCTGTCCCCCGAGACGCGGCGGCGCCGGAGCAGCTGGCGCCGCCACACGGTGGTGGTGCAGAGCCCGCTGACCGACCTCAACTTCAACGAGTGGAAGGAGCTGGGAGGCGGGGGTCCCCCGGAGGCCGCGGGCCCGCGGGCGCACAGCGACAACAAGGACTCGGGCCTCAGCAGCCTGGAGTCCACCAAGGCGCGGGCCCCGTCGACAGCCGCCTCTCTGCCGCCCGCGCCCGGGGACCCGGGAGCCCCGCAGAGCCAGCCCCCGCGCCGCTCGGCCGCCTCCCGCCTCCATCAGTGTCTGTGACACCGCCCGCGCCGGCCAACCCCCCGGAGCCCCTTGGTTTCCCAGGAGCCGTCTTTTCCTGCTCCCCTTCTCTGGTCGCCCATGGGAGCATCCGGGTGCAAGTGGTGGGGGCGCTGAGGTTGCGTCTCTGGTTTGTGCGCTGGATTTGGTCGGGAGTGGCCAGCGGAGAAGCCGGGGCTGGACCCGGAGTGTGAGCGGCGGGCAGGGGCTCCGAGGCTGAGGAGACCCAGAAGGGTTAGGCTACTGCGGCTCCGTGCAGGGCTGTGAAGGTCTCTGGCCCCTGGATAAGTGTGCCCTTCTGGGCCCTTGTGTCTGCCCTTAGGGACCCTTATCGGCCCATGGGGTGTGGATAGGGAGCCCCTAAGGCTCAGACTAAGGAGAAGACACTGGGTGATGCTGGCTCCTCACACCTTTCCTCTGTCCTCCCCGCCCCGCATTAGCTCCTAGCTGCCAGCTAAGGTGGGGGTGTGTGTGTATGTATGTTGGGGGAGAGGAGGTAGGGTGATAGTGTCCGTGGGGGGAGGGGGGTGGTGTGTGCGAGTGTGTGTCCTCACTATCCAAGTGTTTCCAGTAGCAACTCCTGCCACTCCTGCCCCTTCCTCCCCCATCCCCATCAGGGCTCCCCGTCTTCCCTGCACAGGGATCCTGCTCCCCGGCTGCTGGTCAGAGCCAGAGAAGGGGGTTGGGGCCCCTCCACAGAGGCAGGACTGACACTTACAGGGTAACTCCCCACACCAATCTTTTTCCAATCTTTACCTTACGACCGTGGGGAGCTGCCCATGCCCCAGACCGTCTGGGAAGGGTCCAGAGTCCCCCCGCTAGAACTCTTGCCCCTCTTTTTGTTCTTCCAGCTGTGCCTGCTCCTTCCACAGCTCAGGCACACGGGCCCCACCTTCTTCCCTTTAAGAGGGAGGGTAGAAAACATCCCTGGTGTCTGAGTGTCTGTCTCTCACACTCTTTCTCACTCGCTCACTCTCTCTCTCTCTCACACACATGCACACACAGATGGATGGGATCTGTGCTGGGTTGCTCCTTCAGGAAGGGCAGGACCCAGCGCCCTTTTCCCCCCACAGTTGTAAATAGATCTCAGATCACAGGCCTCTCCACCCATGTCCTCACTCATCCCAGGGAAGCCCAGGGGGTTGTGAACCCACTGCCACGTCTATCGGTCCTCTTGTTTTATGCAAAGATTTGCTGTAAAGTAGATTTCTTGATCCTCCCTCCCTCATCCTTTATTGTAAATATTGTCTCTAAATGTGTAACATATTATAAAGAATTTATAAGGATTTTTAAAGATGTTTTGCTCATTTAAAAAAGTGTTGTAACAGTGTTGGATAAGCCTCTGCCCGACGTCCGCATGTCTCCTTTCACTGTGTCCTTGACACACCTCTCTAGGCGACAACTAAGATTTCCTGCTTCTGAAAAGTCCTGTCTGAACAGTATAGTCTATATCTTGGAAATAAATGGCCTTCCTTGAGGCATGAGTCAGCTGTCTCACTTGTTTGGGAGGGAGGAGAGGGACAGAGTGGGGCTGGGAGGGGTTAAAAGTGAGGTACCTGGCCCACAGAGCGGAGGCAGTGGGGCTGGGCCGGGTGGTGACAGAGTGGAGACACACCTATGCTTCCTGGTATCTTGGAGGTGTCCTGGGAGACTGGCTTGAGCAATGACTTGGGCACAGAAGATAAGATGGAAGGGTGCTGACCCTCATCGCTGCAGATTTTCACGCACCTACTCTTTTTTCCGGCAGAGTCCAGGAAGGGCACAGGCACCTTCCTTCTCAGGTCTGTCTGGACCTTCAGAATGGTCCAGAGGTGCTGGCCAGCAGAGAGGAGGCTTTGGGAAAGCCCAGGGTCCCTCCTGGCCAGCTGTCATCATAGGCACTCCGGATCCAGACAATAAAGAGGACAGTGTGGATTTTGCCCTTTGTCTTATTCACATATGGTTCCAAATAGGAAAAGGAGTATGTCAAGGCTGTATATTGTCACTCTGCTTATTTAACTTATATGCAGAATACATCATGAGAAACGCTGGGCTGGAGGAAGCACAAGCTGGAATCAAGATTGCCAGGAGAAATATCAATAAACTCAGATATGCAGATGACACCACCCTTATGGCAGAAAGTGAAGAGGAACTAAAGAGCCTCTTGATGGAAGTGAAAGAGGAGAGTGAAAAAGTTGGCTTAAAACTCAACATTGAGAAAATTAAGATCATGGCATCTGGTCCCATCACTTCATGGCAAATAGATGGGGAAACAGTGGCTGACTGTATTTTTTTGGGCTCCAGAATCACTGCAGATGGTGATTGCAGCCATGAAATTAAAAGACGCCTACTCCTTGGAAAGAAAGTTATGACTAACCTAGACAGCATATTAAAAAGCAGAGACATTACTTTGTCAACAAAGGTCCGTCTAGTCAAGGCTATAGTTTTTCCAGTGGTCATGTATGGATGTGAGAGTTGGACTGTGAAGAAAGCTGAGTGCTGAAGAATTGATGCTTTTGAACTGTGGTGTTGGAGAAGACTCTTGAGAGTCCCTTGGACTGCAAGGAGATCCAACCAGTCCATCCTAAAGGAGATCAGCCCTGGGTGTTCATTGGAAGGACTGAGGCTGAAGTGGAAACTCCAATGCTTTGGCCACCTCATGCGAAGAGTTGACTCATTGGAAAAGACCCTGATGCTGGGAGGGTTTGGGGGCAGGAGGAGAAGGGGACGACAGAGGATGAGATGGCTGGGTGGTATCACCGACTCAGTGGACATGAGTTTGGGTAAATTCCGGGAGATGGTGACAGACAGGGAGGCCTGGCATGCTGCGATTCATGGGGTCACAAAGAGTCGGACACGACTGAGCGACTGAACTGAACTGAAGCTTACAACCTGGGATGGGCTTTCTTCCATGTCGTGTCTCTATAGTTGCTCCTGCCAGCTTCAGGCTGTCTCTGATGACACTAGTGGCCATCTGTAGAAAAAACAGATGACAGTCACCAAAGAGAACCTAGGGAGGAGCCTTGAAACTGGGAAGAGCTTAGTGACTCACTGAAATCTGCTTCCTTCTTCCACCTCTGTCCCGGAGGTTGTTTTTGATTGGCACATGAGCTAAGAGCTAGTGTTATCCTGGGCTCACACCAGCCCCCAAGAGCTTTATATGTCCTAATTAATCCTCCAAAACTCTCTGGAGCTATGGTCACAACATTGTTGTCTCCATTTTTATATGTGAGGAAATCTTAGGCACAGAGAGATGACATACTTGTCCAGGGTCACACAGCTAACAAGCGGTAAAGGCAGGATAAATCTAAGCCTGGAAAGACAGAAGGACAGGGTTACTGCCCACTGGGCTTCCTTCAGGCTATAGTAGGCTTTGCGTGAGAATAGATTAAAAACCAGGTTTCTCTGGTGGCTCAGTGGTAAAGAATCTGCCTGCCAATGCAGAACACAGGTTTGGTCACTGGGCCAGGAGGATCCCCTGGAGAAGGAAATGGCAACCCACTTCAGCACTCTTGCCTGGAAAATCCCATGAGCAGAGGAGCCTGGCGGGCTATAGTCCATGGGGTCACAAAAGAGTCGGACATGACTTAGCAACTAAACAATAACGACAGATCAAGACCCTGTGCTTTCCTTCAAAACCAAAGAGAAATGAAGATGTCTCCAGTAAAGAAAAGCAGGCCATTTGTCATTAGCAGGTCTGCCCTATGAGAAATAATGGAATCCGGTGAGCTGAAATGAAATACACTAGATGGTAACTTGAATCCATACAAAAACATAAAGGACACCATTAAAGGGAACATGTAGGCATTGTAAAAGACAGTATAAACATTTCTGTTTTTTTATTTTTTGGCCATGTCACATGGCTTGTGGCATTTTAGTTCCCCAACTAGGGATCGAATTTATGCCCTCTACAATAGAAGCAGGGAGTCCTAACCACTGGACTGCCAGGGAATTCCCATAAACATCTTTATTTGTAATTCTTCTATTTTTTGTCCTTCACTCTGTTTTTTTTAAGGTAGTTGCATAAGGTGATAATTACAAAACTGTGTTGACAGGCTTATAATGTATAAAGATCAAATTTTTATGACAATAATAGCATAAAGGAGTCAGGAGGGAATGGAGTTATAATGAAGCAAAGCTTTTGTATGTTATGAAAATTAAGTTAGTATTAATCTAAACTAAACTGTCTTAAATTAAGATACTAATTGTAACCCCCAGGGCAACCACTAAGAAAATAAATCTTTCAAAATATTATAAATTAAAAAAAACAGCAAATTAAAAAGGCACACTAGAAAATATCTATTTCACACAAAAAAGGGAAGGAACCAAGGACTACAAGAACAACAAAAACATAAGACATATGAAAAACAGCAAAATGGTGGGCATACATCCTACCTTATCAGTAATTATATTGAATATAACTGGAATGAACACCCTAATCAAAAGACAGAGATTGGCAGATTTAAAAACATGCTCCAACTACATGCTGTTCATAAAACCTTTACTTTAGATTCAAAGACACAAAATAGTTGAAAGTGAAAGAATGGAAAAAGATACGAAATGATGAAAAGAGTTATGAAAGAGAGCCAGAGTGGTTATACAGGTATGAGATAAAATAGGCTTTAAAGATTAAAAAAAAAAATCATTACTAGAGACAAGAAGGATGTTTTATAAAAATAAAAGGGTCAGTCTATCAAGAAGATAAAATGATTATAAATATATATGTTTCAAAAAACGCTCTTCAAAAAACGAAGATCATGGCATCTGGTCCCATCATTTCATGACAAATAGATGTGATAACAATGGGAACAATGACAGACTTTATTTTCTTGGGTTCCCAAATCACTGCAGATGGTGACTGCAGCCATGAAATTATAAGATGCATGCTCCTTGGAAGAAAAGCAATGACAAACCTAGACAGCGTATTTAAAAACAGAGACATTACTTTGCCAACAAAGTTCTGTATAGTCAATCTTTGGTTTTCCCAGTAGCATGTATGGATGTGAGAGCTGGACTATGAAGAAAGCTGAATGCCGAAGAATTGATCCTTTTGAACTGTGGTGTTGGAGAAGACTCTTCAGAGTCCCTTGGACTGCAAGGAGATCAAACCAGTCAATCCTAAAGGAAATCAATCCTGAATATTTATTGAAAGGACTGATACGGAAGCTGAAGCTCCAATACTTTGGCCACCTGAAGCAAAGAGCTGACTTATTAGAAAAGACCCTGATGCTGGAAAAGATTGAAGGTGGGAGGAGAAGGGGACAACAGAGGGTGAGATGGTTGGATGGCATCACCGACTCAGTGGACATGAGTTTGAGCAAGCTCTGGGAGATGGTGAAGGACAGGGAAGCCTGGCATGCTGCAGTCCATGGGGTCGCAAAGACTGGGACATGACTGCGTGACTGAACAACAACAATATATGCTTCTAACAACAAAACCTGAAGCAGAAACTAACAGAATTGAAAGGAAAGTAGACAATCTGAAGCAATAGTTGGAGAAAATTCCAGTGGTTAGAGCTCCATGCTTTCACTGTCCAGGGCACAGATTCAGTCCTTGGCCCCTCAAGTTGTGTGGCGTGACCGACAAGCAAACAAAAATCAAAACAATAGTCGGACATTGTCACTTTCAATAATGACTAGAACAACTGGACAGAAGATCAATAAGGAAGTAGAAAATGTAAACAATACTATGAACCAACTAGATCTAACAATCTCCAAAGAAGCTTCCACCCAATAACATAATATACATTTTCCTCAAGTGTGCATGGAACATTCTTCAGGATAGACCAAAAGCTAGACCATAAAACATGCCCAGAACATTTAAATTACAATTTAAATTTTAATAAGTTTAAAAGGATTGAAATCACACAAAGTTTGTTCTCCAAACACAAGGGAATTAAGTTAGAATTTAGCAACAGAAGATTTTGGGAAGTTCACAAACATGTTGCAATATAAAAGCACACTCCTAAATATCTAATGAGTCAAAGAAGAAATCACAGGGAAAATTAGAAATACTTTAAAATGAATGAAAGCAAAAGCACAGCATGTCAAAGCTTATGGGATGCAGCTAAATTAGCTCTCTGAGGGAACTTTATAGCTGTAAATATCATATTGACAAAGAGAGATTTCAAATCAACACTGTAACCTTGCATCTTAAGAAACTAGAAAAAGAAAAACAAACTAAATCCAAAACAAGCCAAAGGATGGAAATAATAAAGAATGGAAATAAATGAAACAGAAAATATAAAAAAATAGAGAAAATTGATAAAACTAAAAGCTGGTTCTTGGAGAAGGTCAGTTTTGTACTGACAAATATTTAGTTTTTTTTCTTGGT